CCGATCAATTTAATTTGGATCCTATCGCATTCATAGAACTAGTTAACATAGTTCTAGTGTTAGTTCTACTTTTGCAGTAGCACTATCACCAGAACTATCACAAGACCTAGAACTAGAATCATTCCCGTTTAGCCATATTGAGAAACGTGCGGCTAAACCCGAATATTTCTAGTTCTGGGTCTAGTGTTAGTTCTAGTTTTACACTAGCACTATCACTAGAACTAACACTAGACGTAGAACTAGAATCATTTGGATTTAGCCGTCATTCGAGACGTGAGGCTAAACCCGAATGTTTCTAGGTCTAGTATTAATTCTAGTTTTAATTGTTATTCAGCGTTTTATTGTGGGATATTTATATTGGACGAAAAGTAGAACTAACACTAAACCCAGAATAGAAACATTCGGGTTTAGCCGTGCGTATCTTAAGACGTACGAAAACTCAAGATTGTCATAATGACGTCACCTTTTTGCAAGCAAAACTTTTCCTCTGCAAAACTACCTAATGCCTGTACTATTAAGCTATATTGCATTTTATGTGGGACAGTGCAAGTGCATAGTAGTTTTGTAACTATGGTTACTGCATTCATATATTGCCACTTATAAATATAAAATTCCCGGTATGTAGTTTGTAAATGTTGTTAGATTTCAAAAATTAATCGATTTCATTTTATGTTTTTAACAATTGTTTAATATTAATTAAATATTTTTATCTACAACTATTGAATTATCTATTCGTTTGTCAGATACGCCATCTAGGAATTGGTAAAGAAAGTAGGGGAATTCATTTAGTAGGAAGTATACATTCATTGGGTAGAAATTATTCATGCATTTAGTAGAATAAGAAAATGAATTGTCATTGTCACTTTTATATTGCGATTAGATACGTTACAAGGAATGAATAATAGTATATTATTATATGAGCATATAATGAGGGCTATTATTCACGAAGGTTAAGTTTATGTCACGAGCGTAGCGAGTGGCATAATTAACCTGAGTGAATAATAGCTGATTATATGCGAGTAGAATACTATACTTTGTCCACGACTATTGAAATTGATTCCATAAATTTATTTTTTAAATAAATTTTTGATAAAGCTTAAACGTCAATGTGACACAAATTCAATGTTACTAACTGTAACCAACTTCACAACACTTTGTCAAAATTAAATGTCAATTTTATAAAACGTTGTTTTCTTTACGAAAATTAATTAATTTATGCTTAAATCATACGAGAAAAGGAATTTGTTTAGGTTTTTTTAATGTCAAACATTTAGAAACTCCTAAAAAATTCAATTAAATTGACGTTTTTTCAAATTTTAATGTTTCATAGTATATTATTATATGAGCATATACAGTTGCTCACAAAATTGAGTATACAGGGGAATGGAAGATTGATAATTGTGAATATTTCAAATAATTATTAATTTATTTTAAAGTTTGTGATATATATATACTAACAACAATCTTATTAACTAATTTGAATACAAAATAATCCAGTTTTCCAAATAAATTAATCACAATATTAATAATAATGACAAATGATACGAAATTTGCGTCACAAAATTGAGTGTACAGTAAAGGAAAAGTGAATAAGTTTAGGTTGCTATTATGTTTTAATACGCTGTAGGCCCTCCATTGGCGTCAATTATCGCCTGCATTCGCCGTGGCATTGAGTCCACTAACTTTTTAATGTAGTTTGGCGAGATTCTATCCCAAATTTTACAAATTTCATTTCTCAATTCGCTTTTGTTTCGACACTTGTAATTTTTTAACTGAAACCTAACTTTTCTCCATAAATGTTCAATAGGATTCATATCCAGAGACTGTGGTGGTCTTTTTAGTTGCTTTGAAGTATTGTATAATAACCATTCCTTCATAAGGTATAGTGTAGCTTCGGGATCATCGTCTTGATGGAACCAGAACAGAGTCGGAAGGTTGACTTTTTGAAAGATTTGACGTAAATTACGATAAATAATAACAAAATTTTGTCATATTTTCCTCAATAAACTACAGTTCCAACGCCGTTGGCTGCCACGGACCCCCACAGCATATCCCCACAATAAGATACGAAATTCACGCCATAAAATTGAGTATACAAAAAAAAATTTATAATAATAATAAATTATTTTTAGTGTATACCACGAATTACTTTGCTAACATTAACATAACGTCAATTAACATTGACAAACAAAAACAAATAGAGCTGACAATTTCGCAATGCTTATTAAAAAAAATTAAATAGTCCCAATATGAATGTCTCAATATTGAGTATACCGTTTCAAAACTTATTTTTAAGACGCTCTTTATAGATCACAGTAGGCTTTGAAATATATTTTGACGTTTTTATAGCATATCTGAGTCACTTTTAAATTAATTGTTATAATATTGAGAATTATTGCTTGACAATGGCTACATTACGAAAAGAAACAACTTTAGAAATAAGAAAACTAGCGGTGAAGCTATATTCTGAAGGTAAATCCTTTAGAGATATTGGGAAAATTATTGGAAGACCCCATTCCACGATACAAAAAATCGTAAACAGGAGGAAGTATGAAGGAACATTGAAAAACTCCATAGGCAGAGGCAGAAAGAAAGTGCTGATAGAATGCGATGAACGTAATATTGTACGTAAAGTTAATATAAACCCAAAAATAAGTGTTCCAAAATTAACTGTAAAGATCTCAAAAATAATAAATAAGAGTGTGTACACTGAAACAATTCGACGCGTGCTTAGAAAGAATGATCTTCATAGGCGCATTGCGCGGAAAAAACCTTTTATATCTGCAATAAATAGAAGAAAGCGCTTGGATTTTGCGAGAGCTCATCTAGATAAGCCTCAAAACTTTTGGGAAAGTGTAATGTTCACTGATGAAACCAAAATTAATCTTTGGGGATCAGATGGAAAGCAAATAGTTTGGAGGAAACCAAATTGTGAGCTTAAAAAGAAGAATTTGGTGGGAACAGTAAAACATGGGGGTGGTTCAGTAATGCTGTGGGGATCAATGGCAGCTAGCGGCGTTGGAACTATGGAGTTTATTGAGGGAATTATGACAAAATTTAGTTATTTGAATATTTTAAAACTAAATTTACGTCAAAGCTCTCAAAAACTTAACCTTCCGACTGTGTTCTGGTTCCAACAAGATAATGATCCAAAACATGCGTCATACCTTGTGAAAGAATGGTTATTATATAACATACCAAAACAACTGAAAACACCACCACAGTCTCCAGACATGAACCCCATTGAACATTTGTGTGGAGAAGTTAAATTTCAGTTAAAAAATACCAACTGCCGAAACAAAAGCGAATTGAGAAATGAAATTTGTAAAATTTGGGATAGAATCTCGCTAAATTACACCAAAAAGTTAGTGGACTCAATGCCACGGCGAATGCAGGCGATAATTGACGCCAATGGAGGGCCTACAGCGTATTAAAATATAATACCAACCTAAACTTATTCACTTTTCCTTTACTGTACACTCAATTTTGTGACGCGAATTTCGCATCATTTGTCATTATTATTAATATTATGATTATTTTATTTCGAAAACTGGATTATTTTGTATTCAAATTAGTTAATAAGATTGTTGTTAGTATATATATCACAAACTTTAAAATAAATTAATAATTATTTGAAATATTCATAATTATCTATCTTCCATTCCCCTGTATACTCAATTTTGTGAGCAACTGTAATGAGGGCTATTATTCACGAAGGTTAAGTTTATGTCACGAGCGTAGCGAGTCAAGTTGGTTACCCGTGATTACCCGTGGATAATGATCATTATTCACCGCTATTATTCACTCTGTGAAAAATGACTACCATTTTGTTTTAGAAAACTCAAGTATAAGGTATATACAGGGTGTCCGGTATCTTCCGCATCAGAGCATTATACGGTTGTAGGATATATTATTCTGAAGCGATCTTTCTAATAAAATTTTTCCGAAATGTTTATAATAACCGCACGGGAACGGTTTTAAATCGACCAATGGGGAGCTAAAATCCGAAAGACACACCCCCGGCCGGTCCGCCGTGCCGTTCGAAACTTAGTTTCGCATGAGTTTATTTCTCACATATTTATAGCAGGTAATTTATTGAATAATGGTAAATAAAAGACAAAGAACTTATCAATAAATAATTTATTAAATAAGGTTTACGGGGAAATCGTGATTTATGTTCATGATTAAATTATTGTCTGTTGTATTTGGAATAAAAATGTACTAGATAACTAACACAATAATATTGAAAATTATTCATTTTGATATCATATGAAATTAACGTTAATTAAGATTACTACGTATTTATTTAAAAAAAAATCGTTTCGTGACCGAACGTCGTCTAATTTCTATCTGCGTATCACCAAACCTTACGTTGGAAAGCAATTTCATTGTTGCAATAAATTATTAAATTTATACATAAACTGGGCATTGTTTAATAATATGAAGATTAAGATAAGATCGGTAATACTTAAATTAAATCTTAAGGAATAATTTATCAATTATTCGTTTCACATTTATCGCCATAAATAAGGTTTGATCGTATATCAAATAATAAAAACTTGTAGTTTTACACAATCATAAACATAACTTTATAGTGTGTGCTTTAAACATTAGAACAGCATCTTAACGAGCTTAACGCTTATCTTTTACGAGCTCCCCATTGGTCCATCTAAAACCGTTCCCGTGCGGTTATTATAAACATTTCGGAAAAAATTTATTAGAAAGATCGCTTCAGAATAATGTATCCTACAACCGTATAATGCTCTGATGCGGAAGATACCGGACACCTGTATTATAAGGTAGTCGTGGACAAAATGTATTAACGAGTTCAATTACGAGAGTTTACTCACGATTACGAGTACATACACAACAAGTGGCGACGAGGATAAAAGTAGAGCGAGGATAAAGGTAGAAGAAGGAAAAAAGTAAAGAAACGAGGAAAAAAAAAAAGAAGTATTTACGTTTACCTACGTCTACGTTACACTATATACGAAATAGAAATGGAGGAAGTACTAAAACAAATTACACAAGTGCTACAAAACTTACACCAAAACCAAGGAAATACAAATACAATGGATCTAAGAGGAATTCAACTACAGAAGTTCGATGAGGGAAACGAAACCTTTGAATCGTACGTACAAAGATTAGAAAATTACTTAGAATTACGAAACTTGACAGAAGATACATCGGAAAATGATAAACGGAAGGTTCAAATTTTGATCAGCTGTTTGGGGCCGAAACACTACCAAATATTATCAAACCTTACAGCACCAGACTTACCGAAGACAAAGAAATACGAGGATCTTGTAAACCTGTTACGAAGCCACATTTCTCCAAAACCAAGCGAGATAGCGGAACAGCACAAATTCACGATGCGAGTACAACACGAGGGTGAGTCAATTGCTCATTTCCATTCTGAATTAAAGAAACTTACCACAAATTGTAATTTTGTTTGCGAAAACTGTAAACAACCTACGGTGAATACGCATTTACGTTCACAATTTATACGAGGGGTAAGAGATTCGGAAATCCGTGAAAGACTACTTCAACAAAATAAGTTAACATTCGAAGAAGCGTTGAAAGTTGCCATATCCATCGAAGCTTCAAAACAAGAAAGCCGAGAAATTCAAAGACCAATAATGGCAGTAAATTACGTCAACAAAGAAAAGAAAAAGTTTACAAATAAATCAGGAAATCAAAAGAATACAGGAAATTTAAAAGAAAAGAAATGTTTTAGATGTGGAAAAGAAAATCATATCGCTAAGGATTGCAAAGCCGAAAACCTAAAATGCAAGCATTGTGGAAGAAAGGGACATGTAGCCATCGTATGCTTCCAACAAGCGAAGAAGATAAAACAATTGAAAGAGGAGGATGAAGAAGAAGAGGAGGAAGAAAATGAAGAGAAAAATGAACTGGAAGAATATACAATAAATAGCATTAAGAAACTGGATACCACTCATTGCAATAAATACATGGTTCAATTACAAATCGAGAGCAAGAGTTGTTACATGGAACTTGATACAGGAGCAGCATTATCAATTATGTCGCAGAAACAATTCAAAAATACTTGTCCAGGAAAGAAACTGGAAAATACAAAAATTCAATTAAAAACCTATACAGGGGAAAAAATAAAACCAATCGGAAAATGTGATGTAAAAATTACATACAAGGACCAAAATACAATTGGGACCTTATACGTTTTACAAGAAGATGTCGATACAATAATGGGTCGAGATTGGATAAATAAAATAAAAATAAATTGGAATGAAATATACAAAATCAGTTTGGATCAAGATACGACATACAAAGAAAAATTAGAAAAATTATTGAAGAAGTATAATAAATTATTCGAACCGACTTTGGGGAAGATACCCAATACAAAATGCAATCTGAACTTGAAAAAGGAGACAAAACCAACATTCATACGCCCAAGACCAGTGCCATACGCCTTAAAAGAGAGAATAGAAGCCGAAATTGATCGTCTCGAGAAACTGGAAATCATTGAAAAAACAACTTACTCAGAATGGGGAAGTCCCATAGTACCCGTGGTAAAACCTAGCGGTGAAATTAGATTATGTGCCGATTACAAAGCTACGATTAATAAAAATTTAGAAGATGACAATTATCCAATACCAAGAATCGATGACTTATTCTCGAAATTAGGTGGTGGAAAATATTTTTGTACATTGGACATAAATCAAGCATATTTACATATGGAGGTTACAGAAGAAAGTTCAAAAATTCAAACGATCACAACACATAAAGGAAATTATCTAGTAAAAAGATTAATGTTTGGAACTAAAATTGCACCAAATGTTTGGCAACGTTTTATGGACCAGGTGTTAATTGAGTTGGAAGGAGTATCTTGCTTCTTCGACGACATTGTGGTCCAGGGAGCGACTTATTCAGAATTATTACAGCGACTAGAAAATGTTTTCTCAAGATTGGAAAAGAATGATTTACATCTCAAAAGAAACAAATGCCAGTTTTTACTAAAATCAATTACGTATTTAGGACACAAAATAGACGAGAACGGACTACACCCATTGGAAGACAAGATAAAGGCAATAGTAAATTGTCCAAGACCAAATAATGTAGACGAGGTGAGAGTATTTTTAGGCCTCATAAACTACTACCAAAAATTCATTCCAAATTTAGCTTCAAAATTAAATCCGATAAATAATCTTTTAAGGAAGCAATCAGAATTCATATGGTCAAAAAAGTGTGAGGAAAGTTTCAGAACGCTAAAGGAAGAAATAACTAGTCCAAAAGTACTTATACCATATAAACCGAAACTTAAATTGGTATTAGCTACGGATGCATCTCCTACGGGATTGGGAGCAGTAATTTCACATATCTTACCAACAGGCGAAGAGAAACCAGTAGCTTTTGCGTCACGATCGCTTTCAAAAGCTGAAAGAAACTACAGCCAGATTGACAAAGAAGCGACAGCTATCGTCTGGGGATTAAAAAAATTTTTTCATTATTGCTATGGTAGGAAAATAACACTTGTGACGGACCATAAACCGCTAACAAGGATCCTCCATCCCGAAAAAATACTACCAGCTACATCGGCAATTAGATTACTAGATTATGCAAGTTACATGGCAGGATTTAAATATGACATCATCTATCGAAACACCAAAGACCACGGAAATGCAGATTTTTTATCACGATTTTCTACAACGGATGAAACCGAGATAACGAAACTGTCAGAAGAAAGCGTATTTTATATAAACCAACTTCAAATGTTACCCGTAACCAGAGAGGAAATTAGACGAGAAACTAGAAAAGATCCAGAAATTACTAAATTGATTATATCACTTGAAAATGGAGACGAAGACCAAAATTTGACGAAATTTACATTGGAAGATGGATGCCTGTTTAACGGAATGAGAGTGGTCATACCAAAAACATTACAAAAAAGAATACTGGAAGAATTGCACACAGCACATACTGGAATTGTCAAAATGAAGGCACTTGCTCGAAGTTATGTATGGTGGAAAAAAATAGATGAAGATATTGAAACTTTAACAAAGGAATGCCGGCAATGCTGTCTTACTAAGAACAACCCAAAAGCAATCACCAAATACCATACCTGGGAATACCCAAAATCACCGTGGCAGAGAGTACATATTGATTACGCTGGACCATTCCAGGAACATTACTTCCTGATAATAGTCGATGCTTATACAAAATATCTTGAAGTTTTCCCTACAAAATCAATGACAACGGAGATAACAATAAAAAAACTAAGAGAAACATTCAGTAGATTTGGACTACCAATCACTTTGGTAAGTGATAATGCTACCAATTTTAAAAGCCAAGATTTCAAGGAATTTACACAAACAAATGGAATTATACATCGATTCTCCGCGCCGTACCACCCTTCAACAAACGGCCAAGCGGAGAGATACGTCCAAACGGTCAAGAAAAAACTAAAAGCAATGGCATCGGAGCCAGGAAATATCCATCTCAAATTATGCAAACTCTTAATGCAGTTTAGGAAAACACCAAGTGCAGCCACGAACCAGAGTCCGGCGGAGTTGCTGTTAAAAGGGAATTTCAGAACACGTATCGATCTGGTGAGAAGAGAAATAGGAACAGAAAACAAAAAACAAGAAAACTTAAAAATAAGAGACTTTCAACAGGGAGACCAAGTCCTTGCGAGATTTTATAACAACCCAGAAACAAAGTGGAAGACGGGAAGAATCATAAATAAAGAGGGAAATTTGCATTACGAAGTAGAAGTAGAGGGAGCTATACACAGAAGACATGTTGATCAATTGATGAGTACTAAATTCAGAGGACCAAATGAAAAGATTCCTGAAATAATAGAAATACCTGAAGGGGACAAAGAAGCAGAGGATAGCGATAAAACCACTACACCTGAAACCATAAGAACAGAAGAAAGAGAAAAGGAACCAGAAGAGATCAAAGAAGAGTCAGGGCACCAAAAAACTATACCAAAGAAAGAAACCAAAAAAACAGGTGAGGAATCAACCGCAACAGAAGGTTTACGACGTTCGACACGAATAAGAAAACCACCACAGAAATTGGATTTATAAAGAGGGGAAAAGTGTCAGATACGCCATCTAGGAATTGGTAAAGAAAGTAGGGGAATTCATTTAGTAGGAAGTATACATTCATTGGGTAGAAATTATTCATGCATTTAGTAGAATAAGAAAATGAATTTTCATTGTCACTTTTATATTGCGATTAGATACGTTACAAGGAATGAATAATAGTATATTATTCAACAAGCGTATAATGGCGGCTGTTACTCACGAAGATGAAGTTGCAACACGAGCGAGCGAAGCGAGCGAGTGTTGTAATCTGAGTGGGTAACATCCATTATACGCAAGTTGAATACTATACTTTATCTACAACTATTTAATTTTGAAAAAAAAAAATCAAAAAAAGAAAAAAAAAACTTGACAGACATTTCAGACATAACCTCAATATAAGAAAGCTGTCATTTCTGTTAATATTTTATTTTTTCATTAGTAGGCCGAACAGTAGTGTCAGAACTGTGGAATAATGGCCTCATTATTCAACACTTTGTCTGTCATGGGTAATGAGTGTCATTACCCGTCAAAAATCAAATGTATAACGAATAGATAATTCAATAGTTGTAGATAAAATGTATTAACGAGTTCAATTACGAGAGTTTACTCACGATTACGAGTACATACACATCGTTATACATTTGATTTTTGACAGGTGACTCATTACCCATGACTGACAAAGTGTTGAATAATGAAGCCATTATTCCACAGTTCTGACGACGCCTACTAAATCTACTAATTAAAAAATGAAATAAAAACAGAAATGACAGCCATGACAGCTTTCTTATATTGAGGTTATGTCAGAAATGTTTGTCAAATATTTTTTTTTTAATTTTTTTTTCAAAATTAAATAGTTGTAGATAAAGTATAGTATTCAACTTGCGTATAATGGCTGTTACCCACTCAGATTTACAACACTCGCTCGCTTCGCTCGCTCGTGCTGCAACTTCATCTTCGTGGGTAACAGCCGCCATTATACGCTTGTTGAACAATATACTATTACTCTAGCAAAATGTGTTTTAACTGTTTTATTAAAAATAACGTAATACTTATTAATACGGACATGATGTCATAAAATTTATGAATGATTCTAGTTCTAGTGTTAGTTCTAGTTTTATATTTGCACTGTCACTAGAACTAACATTAGACCTAGAACTAGAATCATTTCGGTTTAGCCGCACGTCTCTCAACACGGCTAAACTCAATCAGAAACGTTCTTATCCATATAGCTTCCTTTGAAGCTTCAGCTCCTGAAATAAATTCTGAAATAAATATGCAACATAATGATATTTTATGCTAACTAGCACTATGTTTGTATATTTTTATTGAACTAAAAGTAGAACCAACTAACACATAACGCAACGATGTGGATAGCTTAGATTTGCGTGCACTAAAATGATTCATTAAACGGTTTAAAGTGCAAATTAAAAATTTGAATTTTACTGTATTTATGAAATTTTGCCTAAAAGCTTTCAAGTACAAGTACAAAACATGCTTCAGATCAATAACTTCAGATAATATACACTAATTACTCATTTCCCGTATTTAATTGATATTGTACTATTTTGTTTTTAATTTTGGCTTACCTGGAATTAATATAACTATCTCTATAATGATAACATTATGGTATAAAATGGAATGAGATCATAAAATATTTCTATTTAGTAATAATAGTTTAAATCTAATATCAACAACAGATAAATTTCAAACTACAATGGTAAATAAATATAATTTTCAAATCAAAAATGACGAAAATGAACAGCTAGTTTTGCACTATCACTAGAACTAACACTAGAACTAGAATAATTCGGGTTTAGCCGTCTTGAGTGACATGCGACTAAATCTACTGCTGTAGCCTTCACTTTGTAGCACAAGTCAAACTGTTTCGACTTTGTATTTAAAATAATATAGACTTCTAATATCCTTCGTTTAAAAAGTTCATTGAATTACATTTCAGGAACTGAGATATTATCATTTTCTGGGGTGTATGTAGGCGTTATGGTATCACTGTATGTTAAAAATTATGAATTTAAATTTTTCTTGGAAAAACTTTAAATTAATACTTTTTCCATTTATTTGGAAAATGCACTTGACCTCTTCAAAATAAAGTATTGATATAAACCGGTATAGAAATACCTATATTTAAATTTCGCGCTTTAACCTAATTAGTTCCCTCACAATCCCCTTGGGAGCGCTGAATGTACCAAAAACTAGTGGGGAGATGACCTTCTATATACATAATATATATAAATTTTTCTATGAACCAACCAACATTATGCATTTATAGAAATGGCGTTTGTCGCTTGGTTTTGTTTTGACATAATAAGTGGCACTTAAAATTAAGTTAACCCTTGGATCTTTTTGGAGTATTGCAAGAGCATAATTTCTAGTCACTTGGCACCTTTAACTCAAAATTCAGAAAGTGGCGCTTGGTTCCATTTTGATAAGCGCTATCCAATTTACCTTTTAATGTCTATCATCGCAAAATGGTACACAGCAATGTATAATAACCGACATTTTTACTATTTAAAAAATTTTAAATGTTTTTTACACTTTATTACACTTGTGTATGTATGTATGCGTATGGGAGTGCGTAATTATTAGGCGCGCACTTACGCCCCAGTGGGCCCCTTGTACATTCTCCCTTGGAGGCTCGACGTGGTATGAGAATATTTTTTACACTTTTTTGCACTTATTTACAAAATTACACTTATTAAAAAAATTAACTGATTTATCAATATAATTTATATTTGACATCACTTAATTTGACTTAATTAATCAAAGATGAATGACAAAAAAAAAAAGAAATGAAATACAAGCCACCTTAAAGGTTGTTAAAATTTGAATTTGTGTAGAATTAGTTATCGACGGTGACATCGGATGGCGCTGACGACGGTTACAATTTTCATTCATTTGAGATCCCCATGGGGAGGGACATGAAAGATATGTTAAAATTCTTATGCATCATGATTCCTAAGACACTTTGCAATATTTTTTGTCCATAACAAGTCTTTCCATTATTCCCACATCTTGAGTTGTAACCAAAGATTGTAACCTATTCTTTAGTTGAAAATGTCAAATTTGAGACTTTGGTGACTCTAATTCCATTACGTCAGTTATAAGGACAGATATGTTAAAATTCTTATGGATCATGATTTCTAAGACACTTTGCTATATTTTTGTCAATAACAAGTTTTTCCATCATTCCCACATCTTGATTTGTAACCTATTCTTCAGTTGAAAACGTAAAATTTGTAACTTTGGGGATTCAAATCGCATTACTTGTGTTATAAGCAAAGATATGATAAAATTCTTATGGATCATGATTCCTAAGACACTTTACAATATTTTTTTGTCCACAACAAAATTTTCCATTATTCCCACATCTTGATTTGTAACCTATTCCTTAGTTGAAAACGTCAAATTTGAGACATTGGTGATTATAATCACAGTACGTGAGTTATAAGGAAAGATATGTTAAAATTCTTATGGATCATGATTCCTGAGACACTTTACAATATTTTTTACCCATAACAAATTGTTCCATTATTCATAAATCTTTAGTTGTAACCTATTCTTTAGTTTGAAAATGTCAAATTTGAGACTTTGGTGATTCTAATTGCATTACGTGAGTTATAAGGAAAGACACTTGCAATATTTTTTTGTCCACAACAAAACTTTCCATTATTCCCACATATTGAGTTGTAACCTATTCTTTAGTTGAAATCGTTAAATTTAAGACTTTGGTGATTCTAATAGTATTACGTGAGTTATAAGCAAAGATATCTTAAAATTCTTATGGATCATGATTCCTAAGACACTTTACAATATTTTTTGTTAATAACAAGTTGCTCCACTATTTACACATCCAACTGTCTTTGAAGCATCGGTGTACCAGGCAAGGGCTCCTTTTAAGTTGAGGCTCACCCTTCGCCCAATAATCCCTGCTTCTACTTAACACCATACTTAGAAATAGAATCATTTGGGTTTAGCCGTCTTTAGACGTGCGGCTAAACCCAAATGATTCTAGTTCTAGGTGTAGTGTTAGTTCTACATAGTAACAGTGCTAATATAAAACTAGAACTAATACTAGACCTAGAACCAGAAAAATGCTAAAACGATTACCCACCCCACACATAAATTGTGAAATATTTTGTTTTAAGAAATCTGTTTTACCGACCAACTCTCGTCCTGTGTAAGACGTTCTCTTTAAGACGTCAAGTTTGTAAAGTTAGTTTTTAGTCGTTGTTGTTATGCGAACGTGTAAAAGTGTTAACGTGAATAAATCGTTATAGAAAGAAAAGTTCCTCATTACAACCTTAGTCATCTAACA